CTGTGACCTAAAAACTAAACACATAAACAAAAGCAAAAATAAATGAAGTACGTTCTGGGGTTCAAAACCAAGTCAGCCGCGTGCAAGGTGAGCACCTTAACCCCCATGCTATCTTTCCAGATCTGTAGTGGCAGCCTGAGAGGTTGGGGTCCAGGCTGCTGAATAGCTTAGCATATTTTATCACACAGTCATCACCATCCCATGCCCTTTGCACCCGCTGTGGTTTCAGGGTAAGGGTGGAGATAGGAGATTAGGGGAGGGATGCCAAGTAATCTGGTAAATGCAATTGGTCGTTTACAATCTCCACAGCAGGGCTAGTCAGACAGTTGATTGGAAGGGACAGGGTCAGCAATAGCAACACTTCAAGGGCCAGCTCAGGGAACTTCCTCTATGTGCTGCATGGCCAGCGGTCACTCTCGGACCCTCTGCTGGTGCCTGAATGGGCAGCAGTGGCTGGCAAGGGCCAGGAAAGACTATTCTCACCCATGAGCAAGTGGCCAAAGAATCAAGGAAAGCCAACGAGACAGAGAGTAGCCAGCACCGGCTAGGAGAGGAAGACCACAGTGCAGCAATGACAGCCTGGGGGACTGAGGATTGGGGTACACAGGAACACGGAGAGACAAAACCATCGAGGAACCAATGACATAGGCCACTGGGGGACCCACAATGACCTTATTAACACTTTTAAATGATTACAAACTTTGTAAACATCTGGAGTTTTGTGTGCTGGCCACAATGGTTTTATTTAGTCATTGTGGATTACAAAGTTATTCATGATTGGGTATTGTATGCTAATTTTAAGTCTATAACTCAAGGACCCATATGGAAACTAGACCATTTTCATGGTAACACTGGCTCAATTTAATTTCTGTTATTTTTTTGGCGGGGTGGGGGAGGGCTTCCCAGTGGTGCTCAGAGGGCTCAGGGGCCCCTTTTGGTAACACTTGGCTGTCTAGGCTGGTGCCTCAGTGCAAGGGCTCTGAGGAATCAGGGCTGTTCAGCCCCTGAAGTGTCAAAGGCCATCAGGGGCACCCCATTGGTGTTTAGGAGAACTTACAGTGCAAGGGATTGAAACATGGTCAAGAGCAGGCAAGGCAAACACACCAACCCCTGCACATCTCCTTGGCCCCACAATTCAAAGCAAAAAGAAATTTCAGGCTGGAGAGCTTGTACAGCAGGTAGGGCTCTTGCCTTGCAAGCAACAAGCAATTGACCGTGGTTTGATGCCCAGCATCCCTCCCTGAGCACCTCTAGGAGTGATCCATGAGCAGAGAGCCAGGAGTAAACCCTTCCCCTTGGCCATTCCCCCCCCCCCCAAAAAATAAACCCTTCACATAAAGGTTGCATCCACGTTTTGAAAAAACAAACAAACAAACAAAAACACTTTTATTTTGGCCATAAAAATCTGTGACAATCATGTGGTCAAATAAGGTAGGGGGAGGGGCTTCTGGAGAAGTGGAAAAGAGTGTTTGAGCAGAGTCAGACAGAATTTGAGCTTAACCGAAGGAGTGAGGAAAATTCAGGGGCCAGGTAGAGGGGTGAGAACAAGGGCCAGGAAACAGCCCTTGTGAGAACAGCCTTGGGTGTTCAAGGGGTTGGGTTTGGCCCTTTGTGGGGCTATATGGACAAGTGAGCTCAGAAGCCAACCGGCCCAGGAAAGCTGTAAAGACCCTGCTCCCAGGGAGACTCTCCCTCATACCTCAAAGCAGGAAGTCAGGAAGGAAGCACAAGACTAAGGGGGTGGGGCTGGAGAGATAATAGAGTGGGTAAGGTGCTTCCCTTGCTTGCACCCAACCCAGGTTCAATTGCTGACACCTCGTATGATCCTCCAAGTACTACCAATGCAGAGACAGGTGTAATCTCTGAATATCCCAGGGGTATGACACAAAAACTAAAAAAAATAAAAAAAAAGAAAAAAGAAAAAGCTTAAGGGTGTGCTATTATCTATTACTATTATTTTCATCCCCCTCCCCCCAGCTCTTCTCCCCAACTCTCTTCTTTTCAGGTAACCTTAGCACTAATATCAATGTCTTCTGCTTTGTCTTTTTAATTTGTTGTGTCTGATTATCACTTTTATATCCTTATATTTCACACATAGGTCAAATCCAATACTTGTGTTATCCTTATAACTTATTCCACTTTGTATAAATTCCCTCAAGTTCCTTCCATTTTGCTGCAAATGACAATATTTCTTAGTTTGTAATAGTTAAATGATGTTTCCTTATTTAAATGAGCCTTGCCTTCTTTATCTATCAGTGACCAATGGCTACTGTGGTTGCTACTCTATTTTAGCCATTATAAAGAGTACAGAAATAAACAGAGTGGGTTTAACTTTTTGTTTTAAAGTTTTCGTATTCTTGGATAGATATCCAGGAGTGGGGTTGCTGGATCACATGGTAGCTCTATCTTTAGCTTCTTGAGGAAGTTCCATAGCATTTTCCAAAATGGTACCACCAATTTGCATTCCCATAAATGAACTATAATCCCTTCACTGGTTTCCGAATTATTCTTTTATTTCTTTTTTAAGAAAAACAATTCCCCCAAATCTTTAGCATCATGGCTCTCCCTTCCATGTACCATCATGCAGGGAGGAAATAAAGGCTGTCTCACTGACACTTCCCAAACTCGAGTGCCTCAGGACCTCTGATGTTGCCTGCCGCATTAGCTCCGGATGCCTGAACACCTGGATGCGTCAATCTCTTCCCATCTCTGCTCAAATGTTGCTTTAGCAAAGAGCACCTTACCTTGGCTGCTTCTGAGTACAGCCCTTCCACCCTCTCCCAATTCCTGTTTATTCTGCTTTATGGTTCCCCTAGCATTTATTACAACCCGGTGCGTAGGCTATATATTTTTTCTACTCTCTCTTTCTCCCTTCTAGAACGGAACACGGTCACAGAGGGATTTCGTTCATTTTTCATTGTTATATCTCCAAGGCCCATAGTTGTGACCGGAAATAAGCAGGCACTAAGGAAATATCTGTAGGATTTATGATTAATGACTGAGTAAATGAAAGGCTCTTAAGTGTGCACATTAGCATGTGGCTGTATGCATTTATAACAATCTTATTTCTCTAGACTAAGTATGGCCTTATTTCTAAACCATTTGCCTGTGCATGTTTTTTTCCCCTAACATATGAAGGATTCTCTAGATCTGTGCGTAATATGCTTCTGATGATGAGCTTGTGTGTTTTTCTTTGCCTATGCTTGTTGTGTGTTTAGAGTCAATTCAGCCTGTTAACGGTGTGTGTGTAGGGGGGTGGTGGAGGGAGGTGTTGTGACCACCTCACACCAGCAGAGGGGACCCAAGAGCCACGTGCTTCAGTTCACGGTGCCCCAAAGGCGCTATCTTGACCATACAGTGCTCAGGGACCCAGGAGACCCAGAATCCAGAAGGAAAGAAGTGGGGACCTCTCTAGACCAACGCAGTACTTAAATGGTCCGATTCAGCTCGTTCCCCCAAGGATGCAGATGTCCAGGCAACCCAGCAACCCTTTGAGCAGATGCAGCGCTCCTTAGCAGCTGGGACAGGACGGGTTGCCAAACTGGGCTCTTCAGAAGATGATCCCACCCACCCACGCACCCACTGAGTGCCCTCACTGCGCCCACCGGGAAGTTCCTCCGTTCCCCGCGTCTCTGCACTCCCCCCCCCCCCATGGCTATCAAACTTCTCAGCCTTTAGAGACCCTCCAGTGGCCGTTCAGTGCTAGGGATGGCTACTTTCTCCTTCCGGAGGGGTTGACCGCCAAGATACAGAAAAGAAGGGGTCCCCCATCCTCCTCTGTGCCCGCGGGCCTCCCAACGTCTCTCCTGGCCCCACCGCGTGCTGGGTAGGCTCTGAGAGCCCCCGCCCTCCCACCTACAACGCCCCTCATTTTCAGGCCGACTCTGGGATGGTACTGGGCAGAAGGACAGCACAGCTCTCTGTCACCCTCCTCGGCACTCAACGAGTCAATGGAGAATTCCCGTTTTGGGGGTGCGAGAGTTCGATTCTGGGTGTGTTTGTTTTCAAGTGCATGGCCCAAGCCAGCCCACCTCTGCTCTCCCTCACACACGTACACGCGCGCGCGCGCACACACACACACACACACACACACACACACACACACTCACACCCTCTTCTCCAGCACCGTTCTCTCCCCAGCCTGGGGCTCCGTTTCCCCCAGCCCTGCCCGGGAGGACCCAGAGCCGGGATCGAAGCGGGAGGGGGAGCCAGCAGGCAGGCAGGCGGGCAGGCGGGCAGGGTCCCGCTCGGCTCGCAGCTCGGGTCCTTTCTCCCCGCGCGCTCCACTCCCGGGCCCGCAGAGGGGGTGAGAGCGTGCGCGCGCCTCGGGGGGACCGCGGGGCGGGGGTGGGGGGGAGAAGGCGCCGTCGGAGGGCGAGGAGACGTCAGGGGGGGGAGGGGAGAGGGCGGAGGGAAGGGGCGAGAGGGGGAGAGCGGAGTTCCGAGGGGGACTGGGAGCGGGGGGAGGGGAGAGAGAGAGAGAAGGGAGAAAGAGGAGAGAGAGAGAGAGAGAGAGAGAGAGAGAGAGAGAGAAGAGGAAGGGAGAGGGAGAGGAGGGAAGGGGAGAGTGGGAAAGGGGCTAGAGAGGGAGAAAAGAGGGCGGGAGAGGGAGAGGAGAGGGGAGGAGAAGAGAGGTGGAGAGAGGAGGGAAAGAGAAGAGAAGGAGAGAGGAGAGAGGAGAGAGGGGGAGAGACAGGAGGGAGAGAGGAGGGAAAGGAAGAGAGGGAGAGAGGAGAGACAGGAGGGAGAGGAGGAGAGGGGAGAAAAGGGGAGAGAGAGGGAAGAGAGGAGAGAGGGAGAGAAGAGAGAAGGAGGGAGGGGGACAGGAGGGAGAGGAGATAAGGCGAGAGAGGAGAGGGGAGAGAGGAGCTAGAAGGGAGAGGGCGGGGAGGAGGGGAGGAGTGAGAGCGCGTGCAGAAGCGGGCGAGGAGCGGGAGAGGCGGGAGAACGGGCGAGCGAGCGGGCGACCGGGCGCGCGGCGCGGGCCGGCCGGGGGGCGGAGGGCGCGCGCGCGGGTGCGGGTGCGGCGCGGGCGCGCGCGGTGCAGGGGGCGGGGGCGGGCTCGGTGCCCTCCTCCCCGGCTCTCTCGCTCGCCAACTCCGGGCGGCGGCGGCGGCGGCGGCGGGCAGCATGCTGAGCCTCCTCGTCTGGATCCTCACGCTCTCGGACACTTTCTCCCAAGGTGAGGTCCCCGCGGCCGGGCCGCCACGCGGCGGGGGGCAGGTCCCCGGGTCCCGGGGAGGAAGCGGGGACGCGGGGGCGGCTGCGAGGACTTTCCCGGCGGTTTGCCCAAGTTCTTTCCTCCGGCTGCGCGGGAGAACGAAGGAGAATCGGGGCCCGGCGGAGAGCACCCGGGGAGCCGAGCGCCCCGACTCTCTCCCCGATCCCGGGCCAGTCCCCGCCGAACCCGGGAATCCGGACGCTGGGGTCCCGGCTGAGGGGAGCTGGGAAGAGGGTGGGATTTCCGATGGGGGGTGCGGTGGGAGGCGCTTGCAAAGCTGGGGATCCGGGCTCCTAGAGATGTTGCAAAGGGGGGACCCTTTACTCCAACTTATCCTCGCCGAGCAGAATCTGAGCCGCGGCGCCCCCATCCCCGCTGGGGACCGCCCCCTCTAGCGAGACAGAAGGGCGCCCCGGGTCCCTGGTGGAGACTGGGACCTCCTCTCTGCTCTTCGGTGCCCGTGGTAGGGTTTGGGACTGTCTTTCTGCTTTCCGGTGTGGAGTGGAGTTTCAAAGGCAGCTTTAGACCCCCTGGGTTTGGAGGGGAGTGCCGGGGGTGGGGGTGGGGGTGGGGGGAGTGGATTTGAACCCCGTACTGTACTTGGGGACATGAAAGTCTCTGGGTGTCCAAGCTATTTTGGACTGGCAGAGAGAGCCAGGAGATGAGCGAGGTTGGGCAAGATGATGACGAGATGAGTCCTGGGGCAGGGCAGGGGTTACCCATCTGCATCCCTGGCTGGGGGTTGTGCCAGCCAATTCTGTGGCCTCCTGGATTCTGGCCTCTTTAATCATGCGGACCTTCTCCTCTCACCCCCGCCCCCCCCCCATACACACCAAATTGAACTGACACAGAAATTGACACACAAACAGCAAAATAAATAAATAAATAAAAACAAAAGCCGGTCCTAGGCAGTGTCGGAAAGACTGATCACTCACCTCCTGAAACACAGCCCCACCGCATCCTGCTCCAGACAGACACATGCACACAAAGACACTGACCGTCTGAGGGAGAGAGTCCTCCCTCCCTGCACATTCATGCACCCAAACACAGCCCAACTCAGACTTGTGTGCTGGCAGGCGTTTGCAAGGACACCACACACACACACACACACACACACACACACACACACATTTATGAGGACGCCTCACACATTTACTAGGGCATCACACACATTTACAAGGACATAGCTCACACACACACTCTGAACACGTAGTTATGAGGATATCACACACACAGAACACGCACCTTTACAAGGACACATTGTACACACCTCACACACATTTCCAAGGAATTATCTCACACTCTCAGACTCTCTCAAACCCATCTACAGATACTAGCCCTCCCGCAAACAAAGAAACTTGAACAGACATTCGTATAGGCAGCACCTATGGCCATGGACAGGAGACAAAATGGAGGTGGTCTCATTTTGGGGTGGGAGACCGTCTGGGAAGAGGAAGTGGGGTGGGATGGGGAACTCTCAGGTATCATCTGCTCTCTGTTCCTTTCCTGGATGGGTGTGTATGTGCCAGGGAGGGGTGAGATGCTTGGTCCTTCCTCCCCTTTTCAGGCCGCTCTCAGCTCTGAAGGCAAAGTTGGACTGACTAGGAGAGTGAGTCTTGATCATCTGTCCAAGTGTGTGTATGGGGGGCGGGGGGGTGTCCATGCCCCCTTGCTGCCTCCCCCAGATCTGTGAAAGGGTGCTGAGGGAAGAGGTCTGTCCCTGCTGTTGACAGTTCAAGCCCGTCCTTTGGCAGGAAGTTGGGAGAATGACTTCAATTCTGACTTGGTTCAGCCAAGCTGCTGGAGAGGGAGGGGGGAGGGGGTGGAGGCCCATATTGGTGGCTGAAAGAGGGTAGCTGGGTCTATCCTGGTATGTGTTGGGGGCAAGCTGAAGTCTGCCCCTTTTCTACTGCACTGGCATATGAACAACATAGATACCAAGGAGCTTTGAGGGACAAAAGCTGCAGTTGGGGTGGAGGACTGAATCCAGCCCCCTTTTGAAACCTCCAGAAAGAGGGAAGTATGAAGTATGTGGTGGGATTTTCTCCCTCTGGAATTGGGGAGGGGCCAGGCGTTAGTGGAACTCCCGCCTGCCCACATCCAGCAGAGGTGAAGGCAAGAGCTAGTGCTGGAAAGTATGTGGGGGAAGCACGGGGGCAGGGATACCCAGGGCGGGTGGGAGAAATACCTCAGAATGGTCCACAGATGCTGAGAAGCTGAGCCAGGAACCTCTCGACCTCCTCTCCTGAGCACGCCTCCCTGGGAAGGATTATCCAGGTCTAGCCTGGGCAGAGATGGAGGGAGCAAGTTTGATGAGGGGCTGTGGGGAGATAGTGGGAGAAGGCTATTGAATTGGGGGGTGGGGGAGTAGAGAGGAGAGGGGAAGGGGAGATTCAGCCTAGGCAGAGAAAATAAAAAATCGCATTTTAAAGAATTTCAATGGGCTTCATCAATCTTCATTTTTCACTAAATAATTTTCTGTATCTTATCTAAATGAAAACCATTATCCTTCCCCCCATTTCCATCATGCGCTGGCTCCTCAGACTGATTGCGCTGAAAATTGAAATATTTATTCATTTTCTGGGAGATTTTCTCGCTCCCTAGTCTCGGGGAGGAGAAATTGAAAAAGAAAGATTATAGCTAATCAGAGCAATGTGGGATGACAGGCCAGCCCAGCAGGAGCTGCCTCCAGAGGGAGGCGGGACTGGGAGTAAATCTGGCCCTCCACCCTGTCTTGATGGGGGCGGGGGGTGGGGCAGTGGCACTTTCTAGAGATTGCCTGTATGTAGCCGAAGCCTGGCCACAAGCAGGAGTTTGGAAGGGAGTGGTGGGGACCTCCTGTTCTCTCCCCAAGCTACAAATGTGTCAAATGTCCCGTGTCTGCCACCAGCCCAGAATGAGACTTGAGGTTGGAAAGAGGCATGGGGGCCTTGGGCAGGAATCAGGCCACTAGGTCACTCGTTAACCTGGACTGGACTCCTTCCCTTCTCTTAGACCGAAAGAGAGTGCGTGAACTTGTTGCCTGGCATTACCTTTTCTCAAGGTCTTGGACCCCAAAGAACCCCAGGTGGAGAAGAGGAGCAGGGGGCCTTCCCAGCATATGCTGACCACATAGCTGGGCCCTGGGTCTACCACTGAGGAGGAATAGAGAAGCCCAGCTAGCTGGTTCCCAGCTCTCGCCCCCTTGAGTTGAGAACCCAGGGGCTCCAGTAGAAAGAAGCTTCTCTAGGGTGTGTGTGTGTGTGTGTGTGTGTGTGTGTGTGTGTATTGGTGGGGTAAAGGGTGGGGCACACCCAGTTACTTCTGGCTCTATGCTCAGGCTTCACTCCTGGTGGTGCTCAGTGGATCATGTGCAGTGCCAGGGGTCAAACCCAAGCCATGTGCAAGGCCAGCACCCTGTCCGCTGTGCTGTCTCTCTGACCCCTCCACTCAGCCCTCTTAACATCCATAACAACCAAGCCTTAAGTTCTCAACTACTCTTTCATTTTCTGTAGGGGGCCACACAAATGCCCGTGATAGCTAATCAGTTGATGGATGGTGAGAGTTGTTACCATGTTGGAAGCAGGGGGCATCGTGACATGGTGATTCAGTCACAGCCACCAAACCCGCACCCTGATGACCCTCAGGAAGGGGCCTTCTCTGAGCCTCCTCTGTAAAGTGAGGAGAGAAAGAATTCCGCCTAGGGGTTTTAATGCATTGATTTGTGCAGAGTGCAAGGAGCAGAGTCTGGCACAGCGAGACGGTCTCAGGAATGCTTGCTGTCCTGGCTTTGTGGCTGAACATCAGTCGACAGGCAGCCCTGTCCACTGGGGAGCCTCTTTTTTTTTCTCCAGCTGCCCTCATCCATGGTCTCGGGCTCCAGTACCTCCTCTGTGGGTTGGGACTGATTGTGAGCTGGTCAAAACCCAGAGGAGTTGTCATTAAACTGCTTTCTTTGGTGGAGACTTCAGAATTGGTGGGGAGGGTCGGGGGAGGGCAAAGAGGAGAAGGGATGTATTCTTGAGGGTCGGGGGGGACATGAGTTCAGGAGGGCAGCATTTTGGAAAGGTACACATACATCATTGACTGAGCCCTGTGCTGATTTTATATGCATGGACCAGCTCAGCACCCTCTTATCCCCATTTCTCGGATGAGAAGTTGAGGCTTAAACAGGTCACGAAGCTTTGTAATAGTGGGAAGACCAACCAACTTCCAAGGCTGCCTTCTACCTGTTTGCTGCCCCCGCCCCCCGCCCAGGCCGGCAGAGCCCTGTGCTCTACTACGGCAGGCTTCTTTCCTTATACTCAGCAGTCTGGAAACCAGGAGGTTGAGGGAGTGAGTGTCACATCAAAGCAAACTCACTCAGGCTTGTTCTTCAAGCCTGTGTTCTCCCTTGAACATGGATCTTGCTGGGTTGTTTCTGTGGTTCTTTTTTTGTTTTTGATGTCCAGGATTGCACCCTTGCTGCAGTGCTCACACTCACACATTGGGTTGTGGTTTGCCACAGTCACACACTGGCAGTGCCAGGGATCACATTGGCAGCTGGGGATTGCTCTTGGCAGTGTGGGGTGGTGCTAGGGATTTGAGGTAGATACATTATCATGAGCCACATCTCCAGCTCCCTAAAGGACATCTTTTATTTGGGGTTTCAGTTCCACACCTAGCAATGCTCGAAGCTACTCCCAGCTCAATGCTCAGGGTTGCTCCCAGTGGGGACCACATGGAGAGCTTGAACTCAGACCCTAGAGGTATTACTCCAGCTAGGATTTTTTTTAAAGGACTTTGCATAATAAATAAAAAGCTTTGTAACTTTCCCTCCCTTTCTTCCTTTCTCTCTTCTTTCCTTTCCTTTCTTTCTTGCTTTCTTTCTCTTAAAATTTTGGTCACATCTGGCAGTGCTCAAGGGTTATTCTTGGCTCTGCACTCAGGTATTAAGCGTGGGAGACTTATATGGGATGCCAGGATCGAACCCAGGTTAGCCA